GAGTATTCTCTATAGATTTCAAAAATTGTGCTTTGGTCTGATTGGACAGCTCTTTATTTATAATATGAATACATTTTTCCCGCATGGGCGTGTTTTAGCAAGTTGTCTAACAACCGTGTTTGCATTGTACACTGTTATTTTTGTAAGTTTTATTGGATCTGGTAAATTGGATTTGTGCTTTTGAAAAATTAAAGTATTTCCCATGATGTGTTTAGTAATAGGCAAGCAAAAGCCAACAGTGTGTTACAGTAGTGTTTCTAATGATTCTCTTCATGGAAAGTTTTGGCGTAGGGCATGTGTATTCGCAGAAGCAGTGAGTGATTTCGTTATTTTTTTTGCTAAAATCTTTGAATCTTACGGAGAACAATATTTTTTAGACTTTGCTCGTTTTAGGGTGTGGTGTATACACTCTGTTTTTTTTATTTTTTGTTTTTTTGATTTTTTTGTGACGGTTTGGTTTGCATAAGTTTAGTTGAGATGTATTTTAAATGTAGTGGTGGCTGTTAGACATAGTCAAGTACGTTTGGGCTATTGTGTCTGGCGCGGTTTAGCAAATTTTAGCTTTTCTTTTTTTAGTTACGTGGTCTGGGTAAGTTTTAGAGGGAGCAGGTTCAGTTTTTCTGGTACCTAAATTTCGTTGTTATGGTTGGGCTTGTGTGTCATGTATTGTTGCATTACAGATGTCGTATGACGATACTACTTACCCCCGGAGGTTGCGGGTGTCTTCGGTTGTCTAAGTGAACTGGTCTTGACACAGTCGAGGTGTTGCTATTGGAAGTTCACTGGTGTTTTCGTAGATTTTAGCGTAGCAGTAGATGCTATATTTATTTTAATCGTTCCACTGTTCATGTTCAGATATTGCGTGGGCATCGCTGCCTTACCCCATTTACTTGTGTAGTTTGGCGTGTTTCAAAATATCTGTATGTTTGGACCTCTCCGAAAATGCAATATCCCTTTGTATTTTTGGTCCCGATACGACTCTGGAATTACTTTTTTGCTGCGACTTCGCCTTCTGCAATAAAGCAGTTATTACTGATAGATAACGGGGCGTTTATTTGTTGAGTTCGCTTGTTACTCATTTATTAGCATTAATTTCTTTTAAAATTAATGTAGCTCTTTTATTCTTTCATCAATGTATACGTTTTACTTAGAGAGACCGGATTACTCTGTGTATCAGTTTTTTTTGCAGGACGATAGTCTTCCAAAAACTGTTGCGTAAGATAACCACAGTTTTGCTAGTTTCACTGCATTTCCGCTGCTATGATTACTCGATAGTTATGCAGAAGAAAAAAGAAAGAGCTTTTAAGTGAAAATTTTGCAGAAGATCAAATAGCTTAGCTTTTTTTTTTCTGATCTTTCATTGTGTTCAAAACTACATGCAAAAAATACTGACTTATCACGTAAATCATAATCGGTGTCTGAAAATCAGTCGAATGATTCACACTACGGCGGTGTCAGGCACCTTTGAAGATGAAAATAGACCGTAAAAATTGCCGTTTATATTAGTTAAACAACTTCTACAGTTTTTTCCTCACTTTTTTGGGACGTTGATTATGACGGACAATCGAGGATTGCAATGTCGTAGTTAACTCTCGCCAATTGTTCTTCGCCAAAGGTGTCAGATCGGTCCGAATATTCTTTATGTATACAGATATGAATACATCTTAATGTGTTAGAAGTTCAAATGTCGACCCGGCGATACTACAGTGGCGACTTTAAATGACTGTAGTAACAGCAGTGATAGTAATAAAAATGATAACAACAGTTTCTAAAGAAAGCTGCGTCAGCAGCCCAAAGTAATTGCAGATCTCGTGAGGTCTGAGCTACCAGAACTTTGATATCCAATCTTGCGACTCAGACTTCTGTAGTAATCCCTCGCTCTCTATCATTTTCATATATTTTGCAGTTCTGAATACCCTTCAGCTTTTTTTTTCTGACATCACAATATGAAAATACTTTTTTTAAAAGATACATGCCTCGTCATTCAACCACTCAACTGCACTTGTCTCAACAAATTTATTTCAAAAACACAAGTCCAATTCTGTAATGGGAAAAACTGGATGGCAACTGAGATAAGCCCAGTTTATACGGAATAACATCCTCATAAGTAAAGTAAAAAAAAGGATCTGAATGGAGAGATGATCAGGCTGCTGCTCGTTTTGACAATCTGTCCAGTAGGCGGTGGTGGATCAAAGCGCGACGCAATGGGCAGCATTTGGGGCAAATAGAGAAGCTCACACATTTCGGAACTCAACCAAACGGGGGTCACAGCAAAATGCGGATAGCCGTCAATCTGTTTTGAGGGCAACCAAACTCAAATATCAACCTCTGCGTCCATCAATAAAAGTAGCCAGTCGGGATGCTCCATAATCACCCGCAGTCTTACTGTTCTTTGATGAGAGGCAGTACTTGAGATGACTGAAGTCACGGTAGTGGAACGAGATCATGCTGAAATGAACTGCAATAGAGCTGGTTAATGTAACGTTATCGTTCGGTCACAAAATGTCAAAATCCTCATATTTCTTTTTCTATTCCTAACTCAGACGGACCATTAGTTTGACATTGCTCCTACCTCATTAAAGTTACAAACCAAACCTCTTACAAATTAGATAACTGAAGAACCTATTCAGAAAATAACAGCAACAAAGTACTGCAAGCGAAGCTAGCTACTGCTAACTCAGCATATTTCAAAACTGTCTACCTCTGTTCTCGGGTCATCCGTTGCTCAGCCAATACACTTTGTAACGGTGCCGAATAGCTTTCCATCGGCGACACAACTGATGTTCAACAAACATTGTAGATGCTTCCCCGCACTGAGACGCGAAGACGAAGATTACCAAGACGAATGAACCGTATGGACCAGAACTTCAGGAAACACAGCAGTAAGTGTTTACCTTCAGACAACTGAACTCAGGATACCAATAAAACTACTATGCTTGTACTGGTCAGCACTACAAATTTCCTTAAATAGCTGTACTTGGAGGAGAGGAGCAAGGAAGGCGTGGTTAACAGTTCATCAAACTGCATAACAGTTTGCGGTGTTAAGTTTTGCTGTTGAGCAGCGGCGATAGTCACAGTAATTTACCAAAAATTCTATTTCTGCTTCATGTAGTTTTTTGACAAATCACGAACGGTGTCCAAACGAGTTTGTATTTTGTAGGACACCATAAACTATGACACCAGTGGGGAAACTTGTTCTCAGATTCGTTTTATTTTTTCTCCTCTAATTTTATTTATTTTAATTCTTTTTTATTTTTTGATTGTTTATTTATTCATTTTTTTGAGAAAAGCATTAAGATAACGAATTTTTTTTTTTACATAAATTTGAAGTTATACAATCACTGAACATTCTTAGTGGTCTTCGTTTGCTCTAATCGAACTTTAACCTAGTGTAAATTGAGATTGTCTGAATTCTTATCGGTTTTACCACTTGTCCTAAATTTCTGTTGACGCAAGTTGCTGAAAAACTTCATTTAAGAGTAATTGTTTTAATTTCTACCCTGTTGGAAATACACTTTTTACTCTAGTATTTGGTAAAACAGTGAAGGTACTGAGTCACCTCAGGCTTTCATTGACTTCGCTTAACTGTGCTTTTGGTATGGTGTAATAGTATATTTAATAGTATGGTCTGTGTTCAGCAAAATTTATTACTGTTACGTTAGTCGAGATCTTCTGGTTAGAATCGATCGTTATAAGTCTGTGATACAGCGTTAGCAATAATAGTCAAAATCGTAGAAGGTATATCGTTAAACGGTTCTAAATTTTTGTTTAGCTCTTTCTATAACAGTTTGGTGTATTTCCATGTGCGTAGTTTCGTGTGATGGTCGGGCGTATTTGTAAATTTTCTTTTTAAAGTGGAATGAAAAAGTATCTCTTTTTTTGTATTAAAAAAAATTTTTTTGTTTGTAAATTAGTACTTTTTCAGCGTTTCGAAGGCTATTAGGTAAATTTAATCTCAATTTAACTGTAATTAGCTTTTGTAAACAGGTGTTAATAAAGAAACACTTGTTTATTTCTCCTGTTCTCTTGTTTTTTCTTTATTATGTTGTTCCGACTAGAACGAAATAAACTTATTGACGGCAGCGAAGGCTACAAATTGCACTTCAATGGGCTGTTAACCACATTTTTTTTTGCTCCTCTGTACTTGGAACACTTCTGATCACAATTTTTGACCGCAATTTCGACTTTTTGAAACGCTCACCGAATTTTGATTATCCTCTAATTATTGTTCAGCTTTCCTGCCCTCACCATTGGAGTTAATGTACAATCTAGTTTCCGCTTATAAAACTATTTGGAACGTCACCATAATCTTATTGTCCTAATAAACTTGCTTTACCAGATAACATCTATAACATCGGTCATCGTCTGTCCGGTTAATTATTTTGTGAGGACACAGTGAACAGTGCGTGAAAATTCCGCCCCACCGCAAACTGCGGTTCCTCGCTATAACTCCGCTAATGAGAGTAATTATATTGAGGTGACAAAATAGTTTCAGTTCTAGAGAAGAAAAAGTTTAATTTTTATTAGCAAGAAATTATGGGAATTTTGTTTTATTAACCGTAATTGTTTACAATACAGTTTCCGACTTTTTTTTTATTTTTTTGAATGGAAGGGAAAAGAAAAATAGAGAAAGGTGAGGAAAAATGAATAATTTCTGCGAAACGATGGTTTTGGCCAATGCTTCTTGTGAAGTTCTCGGACCATTTGTTTGTGCAAAGTAATATACTTTAATCAACTTTCAGAAAATACTAGCAGATTTTTTAGGGAACCGAACTAATTATTCATATAAAATTACATTCATTAGTCAGAAAAATTGGTGTGGTGATATCGTTTGTTATCTTTTTCGGTGCAAAATTTGGGACCGCAGAATGGCACTTTCTGAGTGCATATTTTGTACGGAGCTTACACATTTATTTAACCAATTATCTTTTTTACTTTTAACTTTATGAAACCATTTTTTTCCATTTTTTTGTTTTGTCTTTTTATGAACTTATTGATTCAAAAATTTTTAGTCAAAAATCTTTGATTATATTGCTTCCGGACATGCTTTTTCAGTGTCTGACAGTATTTCAATAAGCGTATTTTGACAGCTTTCAAGACGGTTTGCATTTTTTACAATAATCTATCATTTGTTCTGCTAAATGCCATACCATAAAATGTGAAACTTAGAGGCTGCTTACTGTTTGGTTAATACAATGTACCAATTCTTCACAGTTTGATTGAAAACAGATTTATAGTCTATAGTTTCTATAATACAGCGTTTACTGTAGTTTATTTTACAGAAGAAAATGATAAGAAAAAACTGGAAGAGAAAAAGAAGGAGGTTGCTGAAGCTGTGTTTTAAATTAAATTTTTCTGCACTTTAGTACGAATTTTTACAGACTATCTTCTGACGTTCTACAGGAGTAAAATCTGTGCGATAGTATTTGACGTAGTTGCAAGATGGAAGACCTATTGGCGTAAAAACTGTGGTTTATGGTTTATTAATTGTGGTCGTAAAAAATTTTTTTCCTTTAATACTTAATATATTCAATTCTTTCTGCATTTGTTGCAGATAATGAAATACGTAATCAAACCTTTTTTTTGGCTTTCTGCTCCGTCTTTTTTTTCCACTCAAAACTGTCAAATTGTTTCTGTTGTGTGCAAAAATTTTACTGTCTGCACAAAAAATTTTCTGACTAATTTGGTGAACAGAACTTTTACGTTATAATTTTTTTTTCTTTTTTGGACCATCTTATTCTTCACCATCTTATTTTCAAATTTTACAGAAGTGTAGTAGAAGATTGGGAAAAGAAAGCGATAAAAGCGATAAAAACGTGTATCGTATTTTTGTTTCTTACTGATTCATGGAATTAAACTACAAATTTTGATACTTAAAATACCCCTTTTATTTGTTGGGAAGTGTTGTTGCCGCTGATGTTGCAAAATACATTTTTTGCTAGTAAGTGTTAAGTATTAAGAATTTAGCAAACCAACGTATTGATGACGCAGCTTTTTACCGGTATCCAATAAAGTAAAATTTAAAAAAGAAAAAGTGGAGAAAAAATGCAGGTTTTTAAACTTGCCAGAGAAAAGATTGATGCAGAAAACACCATGTAATTGTTTAACAGAAATTTTTTAGTTGAATTCTTTCTGGTGGATTTTCGTGTTGCTTATTGCTGTTTACGTATTATCCCGAGAAAGCTCTATGATTCTTTCGGACTTTTGACACCTTTACAGTTCCTTAATTTATGGTTCACATGATAAAGAAAAGCTAACTTCCTTTTCTTAAATCATATCAGAAATTATGAAACTGTTCCGGTTTTGAACACAACCAAACAGAATAGTGTTCAGAAATTTTGCTGTATCTATTTTAGTAATAATTTTATGCTGTTTTGAATTTCAAATTTATACAAATTAGTCCCCTCTCAATGCCAGTAGCAACTTTTCAACAAAACCTTCCCTCAACTACCAAATGGCCAGAAGACACAAGTCAACCTCTTTCCCCTCCCCCCAAAAAAAAGCCTAATTTAACGACTGCAGCACAGAGTGTATTGATGTGGTGGTAATGATTACAAAAAATAAGGTTCTTTGTTATCACAGATAAACATATTTTTACCAGTTCACAAGCTTTCCAAGAAAACTTGATTGTTAGATAGACAGAATCAGTCTAGTAAAAGATTCAGCCACTAAAACGTCCACTACTGAGTTACAGTTCCAAATGTTAAGTACCACTGTAACTGTCAACAACTTTTTGTTTCCATAACTGTAGCCACTTAAAAAGAGAAGACTGGCTCCAAACTTAAAGAGCAATGAAAACTGCTGAGAACAGTTTTCCAGATATTGGTGAAATACGTATAGTATGTTGGTACCTTACGTTTGATGCTCTGAAAAGATGACAGGAATGGGTAAAACAAATCTTTATTCAAATCAGCAGATGCTGACGATAGATTCTACTAAGTAATCAGTGTACAAATTGAACAGTTACGATTTTTGCTGCCTTAGATACAGTTCAGGTTTACAATTCAAATATTGCGGAATTTGACTGGAAATCATTACCGGTTGCGCAAATGGCAATCCAGGGGTCTCCGGAATCCCATTAATCTATAGAAAAAGTAATTGCTATTTAAATTACTAGTGATATGGCTCGAAATTTTACCGGAATATCCTGCGACTATCATTTCACAGCAGTTAATATTATTGCTGCTAGCTAACTAAGAAAATCAGTATGTTACGTATAATATTATTAAGACGACCAACAAAAAGAAGGGAAAACAAAGTCTAAAGTTTCCTAACACTGGAGACTTACCGGGAGATAAATCTGATTATTTGCCTTATTCTCTTCCAAGGTCTTTCGTAATTGGAAGGCGACAGCTCTGAGCTTACGATAAACGCCAAGGAAGGCCGGTTTTGCAAAACCATGCGATGCCTAGGATTAAAAAAAAGACAGTGATCACAATATAACACTCGATAAACAAACAATTCAGCAGAGGAGAAAAATCCAAAAGGTACATTCGATAATCGTGACATTCCACGTCGGATATCTCTAACCTCCTTACTGTTCTTCACTGAGGTATTACAGTCAAATCCTCCATCTGTTTCAAACATTTGTATTAGGAAATCTAAATGTTCCCTAGAAAAAGGCATTGAATGATCAATCTATCGTAGATTGGATAAAAACAATTTATTTCCAAACTTACATAGCCGCTTCGGCAGTTTCCAAGTCCATTCCAGGAAATGCCGCCAGCTGTAAAGCGAAATCCTCCACTGGAAATCTTTCATCTGTAAGTTTGACAAAATCATCAGCCATTTCTCTCGCCTCCTCTAAAATAAAAACAGGAATCCCTAGCCAAAAATAAATAAACGGTACCATAAAAACAGCAACTTGATCCCAACAATAATGGGAGGTTAGTCAAAATAATCTTAGTAGTGGAAGAGACAGAATTACCTTCTGACAACGAGAGAAAGCCTGTTGGTACAAAGTCCTCGCAGTAAAGATCTTCTTCTTGAAGTAACCCTTGCTCTTCAAGTTTCTGACGCAAGTTTTTAGTATTTTCTGGTATTTTAGACCTGTAGTAAATTAGCAGAATGTTTAAGAAAACACAGGAATTGTTATGGTTGTTTGCAGCTGAAACAAAATAGCGAGCACCTACTCTTTTAGTATCTTGAGTAAGTCGTTAACACTGAGACGTTCCGGTGACGCCATCCTTCTTTTGATCTCCCCAGCAGTTATTGAATATTCTTTCCCCTCCAACAAGCTAGCACGTGCCGGGACAGTCATGACAACTGCTTCATCTGGTACTGAGCCGGATATTAGCCTATTTAAAGCAGTTTCGTCAAGACTTTCAGCGTCATTCGAAGAGCACATCTGATCTAAGTATGGAAAAGTGAAAAAAAAATAATGTTCAAAAAAGGTAGAATTTGCTGGATTGAATTTACACGTAATTGCACATAACTGTTAACGAATGTCATTATTACTAAACATGACTCCATAAACTTTAAAAAGGATGAAGTAAGCAAAACAGTAAGGTTTTGCTGTTGAAAAGTACACATCCGAACTATAGAGACTAGATCATTGCGTAATCAAGTGATTACCTTAATAAGGTTGAACGAAAGCTTTGTCAGAAAAGAACATACTTAGTGGAAATCCCATCGATGAGCCATTCATCGTCTTTGGGTATTACTGTGTTATATTGATAAGAAGTAGATGGTAAAATCTGAAATAAATCTCCACTGTTTTCAGTATACTCATTCTATGGTATTTATTATTAAAAACAACAAATACTTGATTTACTGGAAATAAATTTGTTGTTATAACGAACAGTTTCACAGCAGAACTCCTTAAATAAATGTTCTCCGATATCGTTACTCATTTTATCAATATTTTATATAAAAATGTCATTTGCAACTAAGAATTACAAATGAAATTGCTACTGAGAGTGGTTCAGGTAGGTCTGCAAAAAGCTATATGTTGAGAAAATTAAATGAAAGAAAAACTGGAAAAACGAAGCTGGTTTGAAAACATGAGTACGAGGGATCTACGTATATTGTACGACTTGAAATTCGTAGGAAATCAACAATACAAAAAAAAAAAAAAAAAAAA